CCGAACGGTTCTGAGACGAGCGGACTAGAGACACGGTGAGAGAAATGCCCAGCTCTGCGACCAGCTGCCTGATGACGTCGACCCGCCGGCGGATAAGCATCTCTCCATGTGCCTTGGTTCGCAGTCTCGCGCGCCCGCTCAGAGCGTCGCTGACCCACCGGTGAACAGTGGCGGAGTCCGTCTTCAGCTCGATGGTCTTCATGTCCCACGCCAGGGCCAGGTTGATGCCCCGCACGGCGGCGTCGAGCTCCGCCATGTTGATGTGGGTGGCCTCGTCCCGGCGGAGCCAGCACGCGTCCTCGATGACGTCACCTCCCTCGCTCTCCAGCACGACGCCGGCGGCTATCGAGCTGGCGTCCGTCCACAGTACGGCGCGGTGCCCAGTCACGCACCACTGCCCACGGGCCGGGTCCTCGCTCGCCAGTCGCTCAGCCACGTGCTTCAGCTGTTCCCGCAGGGCCGCGTCGTGTGTGACGTCATCCCACCCGCGTGTGAGAGAGTTGACACGACGCTTCAGCCACGCTGTCGCTGGTCTCAGCCAACCGCAGACCGGCAGGTGCGCCACGATACGACCACACCATGAAAACACGGAGCGCCGCGTCATTGCCGCGGGCGGTGAGCCGACTGGGTTGTCACGCCTCCAGGCCAGCCCACCCCCGACTGGCTCCACACGCAGTCCCAGCAGCCGCGCTCCGTCCGCAGCCCGCTCCGGCGGCTTACACTGGAGCCCATAGCTCGCGAAGTGGGCGATCACGCGCTCCGCGCTCACCACGTCCTCATTGACGCACAGATCGTCGACGTACGGTATGACGGCGCCCTGCATCACTGGGTCCTGTTGCAGCACCGTCCGCACCACCGCCTTCATGATGAGAGGCGCGACGTTGAGCCCGAATCCGACACGGGTAAGAGCGTACCTTTGGCCATCAATCACGACTGTCTGAAACGGCCACAGCCGACGATCGGTCCTGAGCTGCAAGTACGCCCTCTTCAGGTCGACGACGGCGACGTTGGCCCCGTGCCGCCGCCATTTCCTCAGCGTGTCGGCACATACGTCAGCGTCGGCCGTGTGTGCCTCCACATGGCTGTTGAGCTCGCGGCAGTCTAAGACTGGTCGTACTTTAGTCTTGTTCTGCTGTTCAACAGCCATGAGAGGGATCAGCCCGCGCGGCGGCCCGTCCACCGTCTCGTCGTACGGCTCCAGCCAGCCGTTGTCGATCCATGTACGGAGTTCAGCATCAAACTCCTGCCGTGCCTCGGCCGGCACGCCGTACTGGGGGACACCGTTCCTCAGGCACCCTGGCTCCGCCCCGTTCCGCCACTTCCACGCCACCGTCCAGTGTTGACTTTTCGCGTCATAAGTGACCGTGAAGTCTCGCTCTTCCACGGTCAACGCCGGGGGCGTCACGGCGCTGCATCGCGGCGGCACCCCTCCCGGGCCCGGCACGGCCACGTCGGGCCTCTCGCTGGCACCGAACACCACATCGTCCGCCGCCCGCACTGTCACCCCGCCCAGCGCCGCGATGCCGGTCATCCCCACCAGCATATCCACGCCCAGTGGTTTGTCCGGCACTACCACGGCGCTGAGCGTCACCGCGGGCCCGCCGCTCTTCAGCTGAACCGCCACCTCCGTTACTCCGCTGCTTGGCAGCCGGGACCCGTTGACGGCCATTACAGTCACGCCGCACCGTCTCCAGCTCGCGCAGCACGACTCGTGGATGATGGTGCAGCTGCAGCCCGAGTCGATAACAGCCACTCTGCGCTGCCCATTCACCAGCAGCTGCACCGTCGGTAGCGCGCCTCTTACTCTTGGGCTGCCCGAGAGGAGGTTGGCGCAGACACCGCCTCTCCTGACGCGTTTCCCGGCATCCGTTCCGGGCAGCGTGCCGCGGCGTGTCCTGGCTGCTCGCACCGGAAACAGATGATGTCCGCTCTCCTCTCCGCCCGGCAGTCACGAGCGAAGTGACCGGCTCGACCGCAGCGGTAACACCGTGATGACGCCGGCGTGTGGCGGGAACGGGCCGGCGCAGCGGCGGCAGCGGCTGCAGCGACGGCATTCTCTGCCATCAGCGCCCGAGCCCGCTCCACCAGCTCGGCCAGCGTCAGGCTCTCCATGCGGCAGCCGGCCCTCAAGGTATGCCTCGCCGCATCCGGGAGACCGGCCACGAAGCCGCACATCAGCGCCGTGTCGCCGAGCCCGCCGAACAGGGAGGCCAGCCGCCGCAGGTCTGCCAGGTAGACGTCGACGCTCTCGCCGACACGAAGTCTTCTCGCCGTGAACTCCTCGTACGCCTGGAACTTATCCACAGCGAACGCCCGCAGCAGGGCAGCTTTGACGGCAGAGTACTGCAGCTTCTCCTCGGGCTTCAGCTGCTGGTAGACGCTGAAGGCTCCGCCGGTCAACCGCAGGGGGACGACGGTTTGAATGTCGGACACTCCGCGCAGCTGACAGACGAGCTCCGTCTTATCCAGCCACTCTTCCACAGAGGCGTTACCGCCATCGAACTCGGGGATTAGCCGCATGTCCAGCGCCGAACTTGCCACAGCGCTTTCCTGTGACATGGTTGCCGAAATAGCTTGTAGTAATGCAAAAAGTCCAGTACACTCAGATGCCTCTATTCACACCCGTACCCGCTCGTGTCCCGGAGCGCACTGCCCGGCTTCACCACATTAGCCTAGATCATACCTCTGTACACGTCATATCACGTCATATCACGTCATTCTGAACCCTAGACAAAGGCTGATCAATTTCTCCCTCCGCCGACTCACCGTCGCCATAAGACCCTGGCTCGCAATACGACGCGCACCATCATCGCTCGAACCACGCAATGACTAAGACACAGACTACACGAACCATCATGCCTAAGCCAGCGGAGGCATTTGCAGCTGATTTTGAAGGACAAAGCACAAACATACTTGCACGAAGCGGCATCTTCCTCTCCCCAAACAAAACCAGCCGAGCTCATACACTGACAGGCTGACACACAATCCTGGCCTGGACCTTGAGAATCCTCATTTACCCGAGAAGGCGTCGCATCTCACAAACATTGGGTCGCCTCCACTAAGCATCGCAGAAAAGGGCATCGTCCAAGTTTGCTGCCACAAATTGCGGCACCGGGCACACTAATAAGATGATAGTGGTGTTTTGCCAATTACCTTGCAACACATGATGATGGAAGGCAACATAAACGTATACACATGCGACCGTCTGACGTCGAAATTACAGTTCTACTTCTACCATACGACGCCCGGATGCGAGTTACCTAAGTGTGGAACTACCCAGCGCCGAGCCGGCCGGATGACGTCACACCACGGCCAGTGCCGGCGCGGCGGCAGACTGGCCGAGATTGGCATGGTCTTAACTTGGCGAAGAGGCATCGGACGCCAAACTTCTGCTGCAGCTATTAATCATATTTCATGCGTTTCTTCCATGTGTATGAGCTATCAAGTCCTTCGAATACCTAATGTGTAGGTGAGCGTACCTGCATTTAGCAGTGTGTGCTATGCTATGTGGATGGGCACATCCGACAGTCGACACACTGCGCAATGGATTCCGATATTGCTTGGCTGATTCTGACTTTGTGTCTTCGAACGAACCATTGAAAAGGAGGACGTCATTTTTAAAGGTTGTTAGGTGCACTCAAACGTTTTAAGATAAGCAACTGCTGATTGAATTTCTGGCGAGGGTTGGTGGAACGCTCTGTTTACAAATGAGTATCTACCTACCTAGTACCTACCTGCAGTGGCAAATAACTGGGTCGCGGTCAGTTAGGTATGATTCACGAAGTCCCTTATCTTTTATTAGACTTATTAAGCCCAATGTGCAACATTTGCGTCTTTTCGCGTTGTATCGGGTAGCAAATGAGAAAATCTGCTTCTTCTCCACAGCCCTCAATTCAAGAAACCGTCCTTTTCCTTATCGCATCATTCCAGAACATAATTTTCAAACATGGGTATCTTCCCCACAAAAAAAAAACTGAAGCAGTTTCCTTCGGCTCCAATGCGCCGCTCGCCTAGGGAGACGGAAGTGTTATATTCTCGGCGGCCCAGTCTGCATTCTGCATCACACTCAAACTTGGCGGACCCCCAGCGCACGACTGAACGATTCGTATTGTTGTGAGTGACTGTGACAATTCACTGGTGGTTTCGGAATAATTAACAGGCGGCGCAGCCCAGTGCCTCTTACAATGAATTACAGTGGCGAATGCACTATTGCAGAGAAGAAATGGATTGAGCAGATGCCCAACCTCGCTGTATTATCAACTAAACATTAGGTACGCTTTACATTTTAATCAGGCCATCATGTAAACAAACGACTTGCGAGTTGCGACCCTTCCGCCTTACATAACTCGGCAGAATGCCCCTGAGTCGGCTAAACTACACTGCATCTCTTCAAACCTGAAGTATTTTACAATTTACCACTCAGCTATGCAACAGGCTTATAATTCACTGCTCAAGTCTCAACCCCTTTTTCCCTATCATCTTTTTGGCACCGTCAATCGCCATCTGCGCTGCCCAGTGCCCACTGTCCAGCAAATAATCCGGCCGTCTCCAGTTCTCTGGCAGGGGCTTCCAAACTCAAGCGAACTCGCCGAAGTTTCGCCATTCAATGCGCAGGATCTGTACAATTGAGTTTGAGAGCCTCTGGGTTGGCTCGGCGCGCCTGCGCCGCGCCGTTGGTCCGGCCAAGTACGCGAGTGACGTCATGCTATAAGCGTCATCCCCCGACCAAAGTCACCAATCAGAGCCCTAGAATCGACTTGTAGTTCCACACTTAGGTAACTCGCCGCCCGGATCGGGTTACGGGTCATTATCCCATTATAGCGACAAAATTTTATGCATATAATGCCATTTTAAAACTCGGAAATGCGCAGCAAGATGCTCATCTTCATCAGAGCATCGTACTGTTGGCGAGGAAAAAATGATTAGGTATCTTCAATGCTTCTTGAAGCGATCGTAGAATCATTCAAAACGGAATGGTCATGACTTTAGTTTACACATCATAATATATCACTATGTATTCTTCAGAGATTTGACGAGGACCTAAAAATCAACTGCAAATCGCCGTCAACCGAACATAGAGTTGTGCAGGTCTTCTAGGGTTTGCTCTCGCTGTTTCGCTCCTGCCTGAGGAAGGAAAAAATCGATCAATAAAATTGCCCTGTGTAGCAGTAGGATATCTACCTACAAGCATTCAAAAACATAGATAACTTTAAATTCATCGAACTAATTTCTCAGCCCTCTTATTGCACCAGAGAGACTCATGTTAGTACCGGTGTTGACAAGAGCTCTGAGCAATGAGCAAATCACTGCTGCATCGCTGGTATCCCTATGAACTATTGGATGCACTTTATGCCCACGGGACTCAGGGTAACATTGAGCACCTACGATGCCTGGCTGTAGGATTGTGATGCGGCACATATACGACCCGTACGACGCATTGGTACGGTACGTGGCGTAAGTTTTTCGACCAAGCATAAATAAATCGATCGCCCGAAATCATCGAAAATAAGGAGGACAAAAGGGGTATATCGTAATAAAATGCGAAAAGTCGAAATATAGCAACAAGTTCCGGTAAATCGTTTATAAATTGGCACATTCATGTAAGCATTTGCCCTATATGATTGACATCTAAATCAATTCGCGTCAGTTAACTAATCATCAGTCGCGATAACTCAGCCCGAGCAGCCGATATCACTCTAATAATACCCACGCATCGCTGGACCTGCCGCTCGCCTACCTTGTACTTGCGCTGCGCCTCGTACGCCTCGTCGTCGGTGGGCAGCTCCAGGCGACAGGTGGGACACGTGTTCGTCTGGAACGGGATCGTAAACTCAGCACAACGTACTGTGTGATGACACACAGGGAGATTAGATTAAGGACAGTCAAGAGAGTTAACCACACCCTTTACATAGCGCTCAGTTTCTAACAGTGAAAACTAGATGCTTACCACGTAAATAGACTCTCTGACTTCCACAACTATCAGCGGCAGATTTCACACAGTTTTGTTCAAATCTATCATTCACCCTTAACATTAACAGCATCTCATACTTGATTATTGGCAATTTCTCCATGCAGCACCAATTTCTGGAAACTATTTACCTTTTGCAGCCAGGGAATAATACATTCCTTGTGATACTGGTGCTTGCAGGGAAGAAGATGAGCAATTTCCTCAAAGTCAAACTCCTTCAAACATATGGGACACTGAACACCTGAAGGGATGAAGAGAAAAGAAGGGAGGGGAGGGAGAGAGAGAGAGAGAGAGAGAGAGAGAGAGAGAGAGAGAGAGAGAGAGAGAGAGAGAGAGAGAGGGGGGGGGAGAGAGAGAGAGAGCTGCTGACATCAATCATGTATAAAAGAAGGTTTTATAGGATGATGACTAACATATTTGCATTCTGAGCCCAGAAATTTAAATCTAGCAAAAAAGTCAAATAATCACTGATGCCTTTTTCTAGTTAACCCAGTGCTGAGTGCTGACAGCCAACAACATGATGTAAAAGATAAAAAAGTTGCAAAAATCATAAAAGAGCAATTATTATTGGAAGTATATAATATCTGAACCACTACCTACTCAACTGAAGTAAAATTGAATTAGGAGTTATTGCTGTTGATGCTTGCCTTTACACTGAAGATGAGAAAAGGAAACACCTATCAATAAGGCATATTGATGCACTGCAAGAAACTTGCCTTCCTTTGTGATTTCCACTTGCTGTAGTCCCTCAATAACTGCCTTTGCAGCTGGGGGAGCAGGCATTCCGTCCATCAGGTTGCGGAACTCCTCCTCAAAGACATTGCTCCAGCCAGATTGCACCAAAAACCTGAAAAAATAGTCTGTCAAGGACCAGAAACCATAAGAATCAGTTAGTGTTTCACAGTTCACTTTCAATCGCAATGGAATTCGTAAATTTAGGTAGGTACCAAATCAAAATCAAAATGTTTCTCACCTGGCGAACTGAAGCAGAGCATCAGGAGCAGCTCCATCTGGCAAAGGCGTACAGTTGTGTTCTTCAAAATAGCCTGCCATTTCAGTTTATCAAACTTATGAAGAATGCAACCAAAACACTGCCCAGAAACAAGTATTTTGACCAATTTCAATTTATGCCAGTCACTCATTCCTCGCAAGTCATTCTTAGAACTTTTAATTTTGTTCTCATACTTCAGCCGCGCTACCGTAGTTGATATGTAGCCAATGGTTGCTGTTCATTTCCTGTCTGAAAGCAGCTTGGTCAAGGCCTCTCTATTTGATTGGCTGTGCTGTAGCAATCTTTTATTTTTGAACAAATTGAATGTCTCTCTTGCGCATATTTACCAGACATTCCATAAACCGCTGGAAGTGACTGGGGCGGAGCGGCAAAATACGGAGAGGGGCTGCTTTTACCATTAGTTCGTAATTAATAGTTTTCCAAATTGAAATTTGTGGAGTGTTCGCCAATTGAGGGTGAGGATTTGCACCTTTTATATTCTAACATATGATTATGATGGATGTAATGTGATCCTTCTCCATAAATCATTCCAATTCAGTCTTGTAGGTAATGATAACCTGACTTGAACTTGAAATTTAAATGTTTTGTTCTGAACCTTGACCTATGTTTAATGATTCTTTTCAAGTAATTTTTTACCTACCCTACCAGGATATCACATTCATATTCATATAGGTACATTAAAACCATATTTTATTTGACATTGAATCACAAACACAATCAATGTATACAAATTACAAACTGAAACTGAAACTGCATACACAAAAATTAATATGGAACATCATTTCTGAAATAAGGAAACTTTGAATTCATGTTCTGTCCTGGGCTCAGAATGTTCTTTTTTTAATTTTCAGCTATATTTTGTTTGACCTGGACTGGTGAGGATCTTCACTCTTCAGTCTCATCTCATAGTGATAGGCGACAGGCGTGTGGTATTTTCAGCGTGGCATGAACGCACACGGATGACCACTTATGCATTATGTTGCATCCAAGATAACACAGCATTACTCTAATTTGCATGGCTCTCTAAAGCATCTAATATTGAGAGAAGAATTAGAAATTTACCAATAATCCCATGCTCTATATTGTATGATGCTTTTTGTAGCAAAATCAATCATCATGTGATCAGTTTCACTGCTCTAGAGATATTCAATGAATACTTGTAACTTGATGTTTTACATTTCCATTTATCCAGTTGATATAACCCTGAATCAACTGGATTCAGGGTGTAGGTCATCACAAATTGGATGTATGTATGTGGCCGTGGATGTAGGTCATCACAAATTCTACATTCAGGGTTATGTTGAGTTTGTAATGTGACGATTATTTCATAACTATGCAAGATATTACAACAAAAATTACCCGACGTTTCGTTTATTATAACTTTTTCAAGGGTAATGAAAAGACACACATTTATCTACGAGAACATGGGATGTGTAACAGCGCGGGCAATTCTTCGTAGTAACACTTCCTGTCTGCAAACAGGTCACAAAGAAACAATTCACAAATCATAGTCTCTCCTGACTAAAGATGAGCAGGCAGGCTATATTTAATCATGAAATGATAAAAAATTAACATTTTCTTTCAAGCCTCATATATAACACTGTGTAGGTACTTTTCAGTAATGCTTCTGCTCTTCAGTGATATTCAATTAGTGTTATCAATATTTTATTTTCACAGATTATAACACATAACCATGGAGCCAGATATATCACCAGATGCTTCAAGATCAGAAGAAACTAATGATAAATCGCACAAACCAAAAAAGGAGAAAAAGAAAAAAGACAAGAGTGACCCAGAGCACAAGGCGAAAAAGGAGAAGCACAAGAAGCAGAAGGAGCGCGACCGGTCGGCGGACGAGGGCGGCGATGACGGCGGCGGGGAGGAGAGTGCGGCGGCCGTGAAGCGGGACCAGGACCGACGCTACTCGCTCATGATCCAGGGCTCGGGCGATGTGGACGGCGGCCCGGGCCTCCAGTACATGGCCTTCGTCGTCATGGACGACCTGGCCGACAAACTCAAACTGCTCGACTACGAACGCGACTTCTGCAAGCCGCTCAAGATGAAGCCGCTGAGTCGCCACTACTTTGTGTATTCGTTCAACGTGGGCGAGCAGTTTTATCTATTCACCTCGCTGGCGGCGTGGCTGCTGCGCCGCGCCGGACGGCACATGGAGCAGCCGCAGGAGTACGACGACCCGAACGTCACCATCTCCACCATTCTGGACCACTGCCGGCAGCTGGAGCTGCACGTCGACTTCCCGCCCAGCCGGCTGAAGCAGGGCAGCGGCGAGCAGGTTATCTACGTCATCGATCGGCTGGCCGACCACGCGCTGCGCACCGTCAACTTCCAGTGGGAGAAGCCCGAGATCCCGCCGGAGGAGGTGGTGAAACAAGAGGAGGACGAGGCGGAGATTACCACGGAGAAAGTAGATGAACACGAAGAGGATGTATACTCGGAAGAAGAAGAGGAGGGTGCCGTCCTCAACCTCGAGGACCTGAAGAACCTCTCGATCCAGGGTCTGAACGTGCACATGGACATGCAGAAGCCGGAGGACATCCTCGAGTCGACCACCAACACGGAGGAGTGGCGGTTGGAGATGGAGCGCGTGCTGCCACAGCTGCGTGTCCAGGTGCGTACCGACACCCGCGACTGGCGCAATCACCTGGACCAGATGCACAACTACCGGTCGGCCATCGACGAGTCGCTCTCACAGACTCAGTCGCAGCTGGACCGGCTGCACTCTGACGTCAGTGGCACTCTGGACAAGATCGTCAACCGGGAGAAGTACCTCAACTCGCAGCTGGAGCACTCGCTGGCCGACTACCGCGGCCTCGTCGACGACCGGGACAGGTGAGACATGCCATGACGGAAGGTTACGTCAGTTGCGGTGAATTTAAGCGGGATTTCCTCTGGAGGCTAGGTTTTCTTATGTCCTGATAGGCTCGCCTTGCAGTATCCAATTTTTCTTATATAACTTTGAAGGTTGAAAATCTTTCAGTCCATAAAGTACGGCAATTGCTTAGTTTCTGAAAGTTATTTACATGTGAAACCTATGCATGCTAATGGCATAATTCCTAAATGCCCTTTACTCTGTCGCCTTACCGTCATTGACCCTCCAGCTGTTCGTCTCAGGTGCTCGTTGTGACTTGTGACCGCGATACCCGGTGTCGGCAGCACCAAACCGGAGCAGTACGTTTTTGTCCTGTTTGACCTTCGACCCGCACCGCCCGTCCCTCAGCACCCAGGAGCAGTACCGGTCGGTGAGCGGCGGCGTGGTGGAGCGCTCTCGACAGCTGGCCCAGCTCACCGACGAGCTCGAGTCGGTCAAACAGGAGCTGGAGGAGCGCGGCACCAGCATGACCGACGGCACGCCGCTGGTCAACATACGGAAGGCGCTCAACCGCATCAAGCAGGAGGTGCAGGGCATGGACGTGCGTATCGGCGTGGTGGAGCACACGCTGCTGCAGTACCGGCTGCGCGACAAGGAGGCCCTCCAGCAGGAGGCCAACGTTCAGTTTACCGCCAACAGCATCGGGCTGTACTGAGAGCTGCGGCCGGGAGGCAGGACGGCCCACCGCGTCAGCGTCCTTTGGCGCCTGCAGAATATTTTGTTCGCACGGACGATGCACAAATATTGATGGGCACGTGAGGACGACAACCTCCGAAATGCTACTCCGTTAACGTGAGTTTTGCACAGCTAATTACGTCATCCTGTCGCGATTTAGTTCGTGGATATCGGGTCACCACGATCATGCTTGCCGACCCAGCATTATTTGATCGACCCTTGAAGATGCTTGATGACCTCTGAAATGGCTTTGCGTATCTCTGAAGACGTGCACGGGCAATTTTGCTAGCGCTGTTATATTTATGGTACACTTGTACTCGACGCTGGCATGGTGCCTTTTCTGCGAAGTTGCACTTGTAAACTGCTTAACTTGTTAAATATCCACAGTGGGAACTACGATTCCGTCCAGCTTCAGCCTCAAGTGTCACTTTACAGCACAGCAAGGCTCGTATGATATTTTGTGTTAAGCTTTTTTATCTGGTCATGCATTTAGTCAGTGGCATTGTGGTTTTTGTATGACTTATATTACATTATTATGTAGCGGTTGTACATAGTATTCTCAATTGGTACGCTGTCTTGTGTTTTCACCATTTTGGTTAATATTTAACTTGTGGCACAGTTGTAGTTATCTGCCACAAAAGATCTCGCGTTTCTTGTCGTGTCGATATTTCTAGTCATGTAATGCGGTGAAATTATATTATTTAGTTTGACTCGGTTCATTGTTTTGCCATGTCCAATGTCTTATTGTGGCGTGTTAAATTTGAGGCCATATAAAGCACATGTACCCACTCTCATGTTTATCATATTACTTTGCGCTGACCGTGTGACAGTGCGTACTCCGTATTATCAACTATCGTCATTCGTCATTGTTCCAGACCTCTGTCATGTTACGAAAAACGGACTGCTGATGAAAAAGTATGATAGAAGCTATCGTTACGGGCCTTCGCCCTCCAGCCACAATCAGCGTATGTTTCGACCGTTTCGACCATGCTTACTAGCGTTAGCCGTCATCCGTCAAACTGCTATAGTCGCGGAATAAGGATAGGTAGATAATATATATCCTGGGCAGATAGTCCTTAGTTCGGTAGCAAGGATAAAGAATTATGTGCATCCGACGGACCGACGCTTTATCCTCAGATGTTCACCGAAATACTGTGGGACTGCCTGTACTTGATTTGCCATCATACCTATCATCATTACCATCGGCATCCCCGACTTCTCCAAGGCCCTCTAACCAGGTATGGACATCGGCCAATCGGGGCGAATCACGGCCGGCGGGAGGATGACGTCATCGGCCCATACTCCGCCGACTCCGCCCACCCACGGCAGCGAAACTGAATGGAGTTTGCGTCAATTGTTTCGTGATCGATTTTATCCAACTGGAATGCAATAAACGTTCAGCGGCCCGTTTGACTCAATATCCTTGCAACCTTTCAACACCAAAAAATTGCAGCCAACTTTCTCTATTTTGCAGTCGGTGCCGACGGTACCGACTGCTGTACCTAAGCCGTGGGCCCGCCCGTAGCAAACGGGTAGACAGAAACTAGGTGACCAAAACACAAAACCAGCTGTTTTGTACACGATCATTAGCATGTCATAGGTTGATATAAATGCCAAGCTATGCACAATGCACATTCGTGGCTAGACAGCATAGAAGTTAGAACCAAAAATACTGTCAACAAAATACTGTCAACTACTGAGTTCAAGCGCGGATCCAGCTTGGAGTTGGGGAGGGGGAGGGGGCAACTGTTCATCGACGGCGGACACAGTGACTGTGTGGAACTCATTGTAGTTTTGGTTATCGGCTCGGGAACGGTCGACGGCACTGTGCTGCTGCTAGGTGCCTCCTCAGTCGTTTGACGGGGCTCTGGAGCACCTGCTAAGCTTTGACTAACCGCTGCGGCTCCGGTGCCATCGGCTCAGAGACCAACAAGCTGTACCGGCCGGAACTGATCGGCGATTCTGATTATGTTAGGCTGATTAAGTGATTCTGTTAGTGCGGGAGAGGCAGATGGAGCCTGGCCGGTGGGTTCTGCCACAACGCGGGGCTGATGGGGTAAGGTGCAGCCCATATACAAAAAAGTAAAAGCGTTGGAAATATCGCTTCACAAAGTCAGAGTATTTAACATGGAAACGCTATGGCCCTAGGAACTGAATGTCGTGGCGAATTTCGATGCAACCAAATTTCGGCGGGGACTTGCATCCACCTGCCGCTGGTCAGCCGTGCCACGGACGCTCTGGACTTGTCGCTGCCGGTGCTGGCCGAGCTGGCCGCGCTCTGGACCGACTGCGCCGAGCTACTGCGGCCATGGTGCCCGACCTGAACCAGTAGTAGCTGACGCCGGGGCGGCGCTCGGCGAGGCCGGTGCTAGTCGGAGATGGGGCCGCTGCCGGCTGCGGTGTCGCGCGGTGCAGCTGCTCGGCACGCTGGCCACGCCGCCGCCACCGGCTTGATGGCAGACAGCTTGCAGGCGCAGCTGGCCGCCTGGAGTCAGCGGCCTGTGCTTGAGCTGGCCATGCCATTCGGCATTCGCTGACATGAAGACCAGCCAGTGACCGTATACATTCCTGCCGCGTGTCGTCCAGCTGGCGCTCAGCTCCGGCAACGCGGAGCTAAGACCTCCGGGCTCCGCGTGCCAGCTTGCTGAAAGCCGTGACCGCGTTCACACTAGGTGAACCGCTTGCTACACGGCGCTATCACGAATAAGGCATTTACGCGATAATAACCAGTTCAGAAGTCTTGTACTTACGCGAAAAGCTGAACGAAGGGGTCCAAATGGGTGAATTCCAGATAAAAAGGTCAAATTAGGTCACGCTGGGTCATTTCAGGTCACAAAGGTCACTTTAGGTCACCTCAGGTCACCCTGGGTCAGGTCAGGTCACAGAGGTCACCCAGGGTCACGATGGGTCAGGCCAAGTCACAGAGGTCGCAATGGGTTGGATCACATTGGTCAGGGCTATCATGGGCCGATGACGTCATTCCTGCTCATCAGCTGGCTACAACATCGGCCTATGGCACAGCATTACGGTGTCACCCCCCTGGACTTCTCAGCCTAAGGCATTCATTTTAGATTTGTCGTGAGTTGTGCTGGATCTGATGAACGGAAGAATGATAAAAATTTGAGGGAGCACGGCGGAAATGAATGTTTTCGATGCCTTCAAAGGCAATCTACGCAAGCGTCTACGAGCCTCCCTCCTTTCCGTGGCCTTTCATTTCCTTCCTGTTACGAATGAAAACAAAGCATAGAGTGGCATAGAGTGCAGCTCGACTTCGTCCGATCGAAAACTGATGACGTCATTGGTCGATCAAAATCAACCAGTTCAAAACCTGCCTTATCTCTATCCTTGATTGCGCAAAGTTGTCAGTTTTCTCTCTCGAGCGTCTTGTGTGTTGTTGTGGATTAATAATTGGTGAGTTTTTGTGCTATTTTATGGTTTATTTTGATGTTATAGCTGATGCGGCTCAAAACTCATGTATGGGTCAATAATTCACTTTGCTTCCGAGGAATTGTGTTCGACTTAAAGCTCAAAATTGTCTCTGATGGACTGCATTTAGAAATTGCGAAAAGCACAGCATTAAAGCCTTTTATGGTAATTTAAATGAGTTACTCACCTTAGTTAAAGCTTGCCATTTGTAGCATGATTTTAGATCTATCAGCTAGGCTTCTTTTGTCATATTTGTATTCAGATCCTTGAGTGCCTTGTAAGATGGAAACATCTGGCTGTATTTCTTTGTTCTTACTCTCGTACAGCTAAAGTATTTCTAATTTTTATGTTGTACTTATAAAATTATGATTTCCTAGGTTCTGCCTTTGTCATTATTTGTACACATGGTTGGACATTAACACTCAATGTGGATCAGAATGTAATTCACATGTCAGTTGGGCAAACTACGGGGAGGTAATCAAGAACTTGATTAATCAAGTTCATGATTATTTTATGCCCATATATGGTCATGTTCGCAGCCCGTCACGAAAACGGCCGAATCTCGATTCAGGGTCTACGGAGATGCACGAAAATTTTAAGACCGATAGAGAAGAAGTCACTCTACAAGTGTAATCTTTGAATGATTCAAGTTGAAAATCGTGAGGCGGTAGATTGCTACCAAAACGTAATCAACAACTTGATTACGAGGCGTCGTCCCGGGAGTCCGATGATCAACTTCTTGATTACGCAGCCAGCTGGCTAATCATGATCTTGATTTCGCATTCAGCTGGCTAATCACGATTTTGATCGCGCTGATCGTGCTACTGGCGAGCGTTGAACAATGCAGCTAATTAAAAGATACAATGATAATGGTGTATATAATAGACAAAATCAATCAGTTTTGGTGGGATGGAATTTATGTTGCAGTTAATGTTTCTCATGAATGACTTGACCGAGCCTGTTCAAATTTTGTGTGTGGCTGGAAGCGGATTAGCTATAAGCTTTGGACGAATCGGGGATAGGATATATTTGCACACGCGCACCTTATTTCTGTATCTCCGGAACGGCGTCACCGATTGTTTTTTAATTTTGGTGGGTGGCTAGAGACTCAATAGCTGTAAGCTTTAGACGAGTTAGGGATGTGGCACACACATGTGAACTTGTGCACGAGCACACCTCTTCTCGCGCTTGCTCGCTCACATTGCCGAACACGGAGCTGAAAAAAGACCACCCCGAGCAAGAACTCCGCTGTCCGCGATAAGCGGCCTGACCATAAGTCAGCTCAAATGATAATCTGCACACGACCACATATATTGGACGAATAGCGTCACAACCCTAAGCCCGTGTAACCAAGCACAAATCAAAGATATATTTCAAGAAATGTGTATTTATAGTCCTGCCGGTGGAAGGCTCAAAGAATTGGCAAACGCTTCCGACACCCCGCAGCGGCATGCTCTACGGGGATCTCATCTCACTCCACTTGCTTCACGGTCGCAATGGCCGCCGCTGATGGCGGCACATCGGCCTTCACCCCACCAAACACTTTGGTTCTCAGAAACCAATTCAGATTGACCATGTTTTTAGGAGTTTTGATGTTAAAAATCCAAAAGGCGGCCTGCCACAGCAGAAATGCTTGGTCTGGTGGCGCCGATACCACCTCCTGGGCCTCGACGAATACCGCGTCTTCCCCCCCCCCCCCAGCTCTCCATTCACGATTATGGGATGGAAAGTTTTGCGGGCCTCCGTTGGCTTCCGTCGTCTCTTGGAGAATGCGCTGCAGGTTCTCCAGCTCATCCCCTGCAAAATGTTCATAACCAAATTATAGGTACACCTAACATTGCGTGGGAGAAAATGGAGGAGAAAGAATAGGAGAGAAGGAGGGAAAGAGTAAAGGAGAGAGAGAGAGAGAGAGAGAGAGAGAGAGAGAGAGAGAGAGAGAGAGAGAGAGAGAGAGAGAGAGAGAGAGAGAGAGAGAGAGAGGGAGGGAGGGAGGGAGGGAGGGGAGGGGAGGGGAGGGGAGGGGAGGGGAGGGGAGGGGAGGGGAGGGAGAGAGGAGACGAGACAAGAGGAGAGGAGAGGAGAGGAGAGGGGAGGGAGTGAGGAAGGAAGCAAGGAAAGATGGAAGGAAGAAATGATGGAGGAGAGGCAGGCAGATGTAACAAGGCGAACAAGACAAGACATGGACCTGATGAGTTGGCGCAGGGCACTGATAGGTACTACATTTCGGCACATGATGTGAAAATAATGTACAATGCCTCAGACTCAGCAGTCTGGAAAATGTAAGCACAAATTACACATGCATTTGTGAAGAAGTTTCTGCATTTAGATTAGAATGAATTGTTTTGAAAACATTAGAAATAGACAATGCCTGTATCTTGAAAAAGGATTAGATTGGGCTGTGTCAGGACAAAACTGGGGATGAGTCATGTGAGCTCGCAAAGTTTCAAAGTTGTGCCAGGCAACTTCATGAGATCACACTGAAGGAGCTCTAGCGAATTATTTTCAGCATGCCCAGCTTGAGTGTGCAAAATGTACACTGGACTGGACCACTGTAGTGTCTGAACGTGATGCACAAAACTGAACGTGACACACCAGCGACAAAACAAAACACTACAACCATCTATTGCAAAAACAATTCATACATACCTGCAGCTGTGTGTCCCTGCATCCTGGCCTGCTGTCTTGCATGAGCGATGCACATAATACAAATGTAGCTGTACTTAGTCCGCTTAATTCCAAAGAAGTTCATCATATCATTTTTTGATTGAGCGTTCCTCAACGTAGGACCATAGGTACCATTATCACGAGCTTCCTGAACAATACTGTGGTGACGGCGACGCCCACTGCTACAGCGAGGAGGTGGTGCTTTGATGAGCTGTGGAACAACAGACACATTTGCAGTCACCACTTCTATTATTGTTCTATGAATCCATGACAAAGCCACTTAGAATGCAAGTATGAATAACCTAGCATAAGCCCAAATTTAACTTTTCATTAAAAACTAAAAGATATATCCTATTGGTCCCTGCTTGCACAGACAATTGACTGAATAAATGATATGGCCACACTGCAAACTTTTGCACAACCTGCCAGGCCATAACATTTCTAGCTACTGTGGGCAGTTAAATGTGCCTCTCTAATCAACAATTGCCCCAAACAACAAAATAGGCCTATTATTTACTTTAAGATAAACTATAACCCTGTAAATAGCAATACATTTCGTAAATAATTAAAATATTATACCGCGGAAAGCATGCGCCATGATAGCCTACAAAATCACCATAAATTCTATCGCGATATTTCAACATTTATACCGACGCACATGAACGTTGAGGCTATTCAAATTTACAAACATGATCTAAATTATTGAAAAAATGCTAATTTTACCTATAAGAACCAAATTACCAATAATTCGGCGCTAATTTCCGGCCTCACCCACACACCGACAACACGACAAATGGCGGCGTGCTAACAGGCGACGGTACCTTTTGGAAGAAATGTTTATTACGACCAATTTAAGACGTGTGTAAAATGAATGTCCAATTATTTATTTTTAAATTATAAACGTAAAAATGTGGATAAAAGAATAATATCCGCCTAAAAAGGGCTTTAAAAAATATCACTTTTCTGAAAAAGTTAGGCTAGCAGTTTATCTTTCGCCATATGAGCTAAAGTACATATCCCACTGCTACCGGTCCATATCATTTCGGGAGAATATTTGCGTTTCACCTGGTAAAAAATCGTGTCGATATGGACATTATAACAATCGAAACGAAACACTTGAATAGTTCGGTGCACGAAAAGTAATCAAAATCTTG